TGCATCTGCAGTTGGTAGCTTAATGTATGCAATGGTATGCACTAGACCAGACATTGCTTATGCAGTGAGAGTTGTTAGCAGATTCATGTCTAATCCAGGAAAGAAGCATTGGGAAGCTATCAAGTGGTTGTTACGCTACTTGAAAAGTACTTCTAAGATTGCATTATGTTTCAGTAAGAACGATGTTATTTTGGAAGGATATTCTGATGCAAATTTGGGAGGTTGTTCAGACACAAGGAAGAGTACTACAGGATTTGTTTTCACAGTAGGTGGCATAGTAGTTACTTGGATGTCTCAACTTCAGAAAAGCATCGCACTTTCAACCACAGAAGCAGAGTACATGGCTATTTCAGAAGCTGTAAAGAAATGATTTGGTTGAAGAATTTTCTTGAAGAGTTGGGCAAGAAGCAGTGTGACAGTGCTCTTTATAGTGATAATCAGAGTGTCATTCATCTTGCAAAGAATCATGTGTTTCATGCAAAGACAAAGTACATCCAGTTGATGGTACTTTGTTCTTAAAGAAGATCCTTGGGTCAGAGAATCCTGCAGATATATTGACCAAGGTGGTTACTACTGAGAAGTTAAAATTTCGCATAACTTCAACTGGCTTTCATGGTTAATTGTTGAGAAGGCGTCACACTAGTTTGGAGGTGTTATGGTTTTGAGGTTTACTAGATTTACTTTGGAGTGCAGTTGATGTGATCAGCCTCCAAGTGGAAGATTGTTGAGTATGTGAAGTCTGATAGGTTTATTGGACTTGACCTATTTGCTTTTTTTTTTAATTTATAAATACTCATGTAATTGTAAACCTAATTATGAAATAGAAAATACCATCTAGTGCGGCCGTGGACGTAGGTTATTTTGACCAAACCACATAAATATTTGTGTCCTGTTAATTTACTTTCTCTCTTGCAATTATGTGTATGAGTGTGTTTGTGATCCCCAACAACAGCCACGGGTGAAGAGCTATCACTTTGTTCTTCCAATCGGCTTAGCAACTAGGTTAAGGAATAAATAGTTATGAACCCGATTTGATCTATCAAGTAATCGTTTTATGATTTTCTTTACAATCATTCTATGATTTAATAAAATGTTACTTTTATTAATATATTTACTTTTTAGTTGAATAATCAATTTGATAAAGTCTTAATTAAAATTATAGACTTATTATCGTAACAAATATTACCATAATGAGAAGCAAAGTTTTTTACAAAAATTTAGATACTTGTAGAATTTATTTATCAATCTATTTATAATATATAAAATTTGAGATTCGGAATGTGACATTATCATCTCAAATTTATGTGAATTACATATTCTTCTACATGAACAATTCGAAATGTGACACTGTCACCTCGAATTTATGTAAATTACAAATTCTTCTACATAAACTATTTTACTTATGTGACATACTCCTTTCATCATTACACAAATTGTTGCCTCTTACAAACATAGGTTACTAATACTTTTAAAAAAAAATGAAACAAAATACTTTCACGAGTAACTAATTATATTCTTGTTAAAAAAAAACATCATATCATTATCTCAATCATGTATTTCTCTTCCTCCACCTTCTCAAGAAAAATCCTACACTTTATGTTTTAACATTGCATGTTGGTGAATTGGTTGGGATTGAATTATTGGTGTGACCCATTTAGTAATTTTAGTAGAAATACTTGGATGGAACTTGAAAGAATTGAATACTTTAAAGAATTCTTAAAAAATAATAAAAATGAGCTATATGTATGAGTGAAATCTACTTAAGTACCTCAAATAAGATATTGAGTCGTAAATGCTCTTATCAATAAATTGTTATTCATTATCAATTATCACAACATAGAGAGGGTTATCCCGATGTCAAATTATTCTATGTAAACTTTTACACATTTTGTAAAGTTGTCTTGATTGAGAGATTAGCTTTAATTCACTTAATGAAGTGGTCAATAACAACCAATAAGAATTTTCTTGTCCTTTGACACAAGGGAAAGGATGAGGATGCCCATTCCCCCAAACAGTGAATGACCAAGGAGGTTGCATGGAATTAATGAAACTCTTCAGACGAAGCTCAGGACAAATTGCCAATTTCTAAGCACTGTTTGCATTACTTCACAAACGCAGTGTAGTAAGCTTTTGTGACGGGTCAATAATAATACCTAGCTCGAATAACCCAAGCAACCATGAATCATAACCCTTTCATGCCACAAAATCCCCCGTGTACTTCTTCCATTACATACTCACTTTGATTCTTGGTACAACACTTGAGGAGTGGAGAGGTTGTCCCACACTTAAACAATTCGTCTACAACAATGGCATAGTAGTGATGCACCTTGCTTTGATTGAATCAGAAGGGTGTTCAAATTAGTTCCAAATGGCTGACATTCATTCTCGGTCAATTGAATCAATATTTAATACTTATCTAATCTAAAACCTTACATGGTTATGGTCTCTATTGGATTATTGTCATCTAGATTTTGTAATTATATTTTAAATATTTAATATAAATTATTTTTTTTATATTTTTTATACAAACATAAATATACCCTTAAAAGATTAAAAGTGTAATTAACAAAATGCATTAATAATATACTATATAATATTTGTTATATAAAATTAATAAGTCAAATATTTGGTGAGAATAAAGAAAGAATGGGTCGAGAATTCAAATACCACTTTTTAACATGTTTACTATTTAAATGTTTAATTGCGTTTTCAGAAACAAAATACTTGCAAATTTGTAAATGGGGGACCAAATCTTATATAGTCAATTAGAATAAAAAAAATTAACAAAATTATGTAAATTTAGAGTTAAAATGTGAGACAAAAATTTTATGGGCATGATTTACAAAGTTTTGAAAGTTAAACAAAAATAACAATTAAGCGTTTTTTTTAATTTTAAATACTAATTTGACTGATTATTGTAGTTTTAGGGCTAAATTAATTAATGATTTTCACTTTTAAAAACCTTATTTATTTCAAAAACAACTTGTTCATATATGACAATTTCAAAAACTAAATTGTTAAATAGTATACAATTTCAGGAATTATTTTATAATCATATTAATATCAGGATCAATTTAACTTAACATTATAATTATAATATTTAGTTTTATATATAATTTATTATAAATTTTAGTTATATAATAATTATTTACGTGTGTAATGCAAAAGTTAAAATATAAGTTTTATAAAATAAAAAAATAATTTTAATTTATAAAAAATATAATTTATTTCACTTTTATATATATATTTATAAATATTTTTTATCTAAGCATGGTCTTATTTCATTTTATAAAATAGTTTTTTTTTTCAACCATTCGAGAAAATGTATACGAAATATTCCTTAAAAATACATTATCGTTTTCAATAACGTATGCTTCAATATTTGTTAAGAAAAATGACAATAGTATTTTATTTTTGATATAATTTAAAATAGAGTTTTTAAATATATATATATA